TTGAATGGATACTCGAAATTAAAAAAGAATAGACAGGTCCTCATCAAAAACAAAGATTTTTTTACTTTATATAAGATCAATTTAAGCCCATCCAAATGAAGTGACATTTAAATCGCATATCAAAGAAGTTTCTAAAATTTCCTTTAATCTGCAGAATATTGCAGTAATTAGAAATATCCTGTCCAGGGTGATGCTGAGAAACTAGTCCATGCATTTGTTACTTCAAGGCTGGATTATTGTAATTCTTTACTATCAAGTCGACAAACTGTAGTTAAAAGCCTTCAGCTGATGCAAAATGCTGCAGCCAGAGTTCTGATGAAATTAAAGGGATCATATTGCTCCTATCCTCCTCCCATTCATTTTCTTCCTGTTAAATCCAGAATGGAATTTTTAAATTTCTCTTCGCATATAAAGCCTTAAATGGCCAAGCTCCATCATGTATCCAAGATCTGATTGTTTGTTTTTTTTTTTTTTTCCTAATAGAGAACTTTGCTCTCAATCTGCAGGTTTACTAGTGGTTCCTAGAATTTCTAAAAGTAGAATGGGAGGCAGATCATTCTCCTCTCCTGTGGAACCAACTACCAGTTTTAGTCTGTGAGGTAGACACCCTGTCTACTTTAAAGACTAGGCTTAAAACTTTCATTTTTGATAAAGCTTATAGTTAGAAGGGCTCAGGTTATCCTGAGCTATCTTTATAGTTGTGCTGTTATAGGCTTAGACTGGTGGAGGACATAGACCCCTTTTTCATCATTCTGCTTCATTCTATCTCTATTCTCCCACTGCAGAATCTGTTAGTTCAATCTCTAACATTATGCTCTCTCTGCTTTTTCTCATAGTAGCTTCATCTGGTCTGTTCCTTTTTGGCTGTGGCTCCATCCTGGAGAGAAATATCAGCTGCTGCCATCAACACGTTTGTTTATAGATGTTCATGATCGGCCTGTTTTCCAGCGTTGTCCTGTTTCTGACTGTGACTGGCTGGATGTGCACTCTTCATCCTGTGACATGGGAGCTGGCTCATCTGCCTGCCTGGCTGTGTGTTTCCTGGACGGGGCTGCCTTTTACAGTTGCTTTTTGTATCACTGCTTCTGTTTCCTTAAACCCCAGTCAGCCTCGGCAGATGGCCGCTCACACTGAGCCTGGTTCTGCTGGAGGTTTCTTCCTGATAAAGGAGTTTTTCCTCTCACTGTCGCTACAAGCATGCTTAGTGTGAGGGATTGCCTTGGAGTCGAGAGTCAATGTAATAAACTGGTTTTCCTTGGATAGAAAACTGAATCAATTTGACTGTATGATCTAGTGAACTGTAAACTGCTGTGAGATGTGTTGTGAATTGGCGCTATAGAAATAAAATGAATTGAATTCCATTGACCTTAAATGTCTTTAATACTAAAATGTTTCAAGTTTGTGTGTCTATAAAAACTACTCCATTAAGCTAAGGAATCCTAAAACTTAACACTTGTCAAAGTTAACCATTTTTCAACCTAGATATAAATTTTACAAAAACAAGACAAAATCATGAGGTCGAATACGGTCTGCATGGTCCACCTGTGTAACTGCCTCATAGAGGCAAGCCAAGTTTATTTGTATAGCACAATTCAAAGTGCTTTACATTAATTGGATAATGTAATGGAAGGAAAAAACGGTTGGACCTTAAACTAATAACAGTTCAACTTCAGTCAAAGGCAGCTCTAAACAAATGGGTTTTTAACTTGGACTTAAAATAACTTTTAGAAAAGAGTTTATTCCATATAAGTGGAGCATAGGAACTAAATGCTGCTTCAGGTTTGGTTCTAGTTCTGGGTAGGCTAGAGCTAGAAGACCTGAGTGGTCTGGGAGGTTGATTCACTGACAACAGATCTGTTCCGCTATAATTCAGTGATTAATCCTGTAATATTTTCATGCTCACAACAGTCTGTGGCAAGCTGTTTTGATATGTACTAGTTTCACTGAATATGTCTTACTAAGATCTAAAAAAAAAAAAAAACTTTGAAAATTTCAAACAAAATTACACTACATCTAGAATAAATATTCTGAAAGTCTAAATTAATTTCAGATCTCCATATTACTAATATTACTGGTCAGCATTTGTATTATTTTAACTAAAAAAAAATGTATTCCAGATATAAATACATTTACAGTCAAACTGATAAATGTCAGGCCAATTCAAATCTAACATTTCTAGATATATAAAACTTAATTCTTACTAGTATAATTTAGTTTTTTACTTTCTAAAATTCAGTTTCTGCTACATAAAGTTCATTTAGAAAATATATTTACAGGTTAGGTCTAGGAGTTTGATTTTGCTGATGAAATTTATTTTAGTGATCTACAAATGAAACAATGGAGAGGAGTGCTTTTAATAAATGTAAAAATGGCCTGCCATAGCCCACTTCATATAAACCTATGCATTAACTCGAGCAATCTTCTCCAACATCCTCCTTCCTTTTTTAAACACATATTTTAATTTTTTTTTTTTTTTTTTTTTTGCATTTCTGCAATAAAATGCAGTGGGGTGAAATAGGCCCTTCCTGTTATCATGGTGACTCATCTGGCTTTTCATACTTGTTGCCCCCGTGTTTAACTGGACCTAGTTAAAATTGATTGAATTAATAGCAGCAGTTGTGAAATCAATCACTCAGAGTTCCCGACTTTAGGCTGGATCAATTTAGGGTTGTGGATTTTAATCCAAATTTGTTAAACCTGCTTCATGAAATGGACCCCAGATAGTCAAAAGATTTAATTCAATTCAGTTTATTTCTATAGCGTCATTTCGAGGCACAGTTCCCCAGTTCATCCAATCAAATTGATTCAAAGTTTTCTATCTAAGAAAAACCAGTTGATTGCATCGACTCATTGACTCGAAAGCAATCCCTCACACTAAGCATGCTTGTAGCGACAGTGGAGATGAAAAACTCCCTTTAAACAGGAAGAAACCTCCAGCAGAACCAGGCTCAGTGTGAGTGGCCATCTGGGGTTCAAGGAGACAGAAGCAGAGATACAAAAGGCAGCTGTGGACCACAATAAAGCTGCACCTTTCAGAGTGGCCTTTTATCGTGGGCAGTCTGAGGCACACTTGTGCAGTAATCATGGTGTCTATTCAGCATCTTAATATGGCACACCTTTGCGGTGAGATGGATTGACTGATCTCTATTTATTCACTGGATTGCTGATATCCCGCTGGTAGAATGGGGTTGAAGTGAAGCCACTGGCCGCCATATTGGTACACCCTAGACCAGTCGCGATATAAAGAATAGTAGCCTACAGCATCGAACAACGATGATGTTCTAATTTTCAGAGGGACTTAAGACTTTTAAAATAAAGATAAATTCATCAGTTTGACAGACACTGTTTCATAGGATCAGTAGATTACTTTAACTTGTAATAAAAAAAATTAGCCATGAGTTATATGCACATCACATTGCATAGTCAGTAGTGTATAAATCATGTAATATGACTAACCAAATTTCATTCACTACAGCTGATAAAATGTAAACATAAGACTGGTATATGATTTACAGATTCCAAAATTCTTTTTTTTTTTTTTTTTTTAAAGCCCCATTTTATATTTATTATTCAGCAGTCTAATGGTGGTGGGGAGAAGCTTTTCGGGAATCTGTTGGACCTGCAGTAACATTTACCATGATGGTTTGCTAGAACAGGTAGAGATTAGGGCTGAAACAATTAATCCGATTAATCGATTATTGAAATAATCAATTAAATTAGTGATCGATCAATCGTTAACTGGAGCATAGAGACTCTAAATCAAGCCTTCAGCTGACAGAGCGACCGATAGGGCAGTAATTATTCAGATTGTTGCCCTTCACATATTGACTTATTGGGCCGTTTTTTCTCATGAAGGAAACGCAATTTTTTAAATGAAAGACAAAAATCATATTGATTTGATACAACTGAATTAGCTTAATTGATTAAGCAGATTATTAGTATTTATCAATGCCTTCAATGCCAATTCACAGCAATATTTGGCAAATCTATAATTCATAAAAATATTTTAGAAATGTGGTCAAATTAGGTTATTCTTGTTACATAAATTGTTATTTAAGGACCAAGACTGCTGAACCAGTGAGCCTTTGGAAATGATTTTGTCAGTACCCAGAGTCCCCCACTAGTCACATGAGGTTAAATGGTCATCAGTTTGGGATCTCATGAGCGAAAAGTCGGTATTAAACCTGAAAAAAATGTCTTTATGCACAAAGGGCCAGTTAACACAGGGGTCCTTATGGGTTAAAGGTATAATGCTGGCATCCTCAAAGTCGGTCCTCAAGGGCCGCTGTCCTGCAGGTTTTACAGTTTTCCTGCTCCAGCAGAGCTGATTTTAATTGATAGATGATTAACAGGCTTTTGCTGAACCACAATCAGCTGTGCTAAAGCAGGGAAACCTCTAAAACCTGCAGGACAGCGGCCCTTGGGGACCAACTTTGGGGATGCCTGGTATAAAGGAAGATTTAAAAAAAAAAAAAAAAAAACACCCTCTATTCTAAGAAAAAAAAGAAAATGCACATGCAGAACCCTGTACCTGCTCCCGAGAGGGAACGCCTAATTAACGCGTGAAGGAGCCCATTTCGCCTGTATAAATGTTGCTGTTTGCATCGCTCAGACAAACTTACTTTTGAAAAGAGGATTTGCAATTTTTCCCCTAGGTCAGTCTCACCCCTGTTAAGTGAAAATGGGGACAAGCACGTAGGACAGCCTTACGTAAACATGTGCACAGGAAAGATTGACAATTAGGTGGACTACTTATTTTTATGATCCACCTGTAAAGAGAACATCCTCCACTATAGCTTAACCTACAGGCCCTGCCAATGAAAATATCGTTTTTTGCAATGTTCCTACATAAAAAGAAAACCAACATCGTACCAGACCTTACCCACTATTACTCACTCACTGGATTTGAGGCCTTTACCTGCTTCTTAAAGTTAACCTATTGCTTCATCTGCTGATTATTGTATCATTTAAGGGATATCCCTGTAATAAAACCAAGAATCCACTTTTAATTACATCTCTTTATTCAGATATTGCCATTTTACAGTCCTCGTGGCGTTTTAAAGTTCATTCCAACGGGTGGCTGAGTGACCTGAAGCTTAGACAGGCTGCCCAAATCCTAGAGAGAAAAAAATAGGAACATAGTTGATTTGTTGTTGAGTTGTTTTAAATATATTTGTATGATAAGCACTCATCTCCTTTAGCTGAGTTTCTAATGAAAGTAACATTTGCGATATTATGAGTGGTGAAGTTTTTGATCAAAGGCTTACCAGCATCTTGAGCATTTCTTTAGTATCTGGATCCACCTCAATGATCTCCTGGTCCAGAGCTGAAATCTACAGGATGAGAAGAAACAGACTTGTGTTGAAGCATCACAGGAGAAGGCAGAGTAACTTCTGAAATGAGTGATCGGCTCGGCAGAGAAAAAAGTTAGCCTAGGTGAAGAGGCCCTCTCAGCTGAGAACCACAGATTCAAAGGTCTTACAGACTGTAAGATCTGTAAATTCAACACAAAGCAGGAGCAGGAAGAGAAGGACAGACCTCAGGGACGTAGTTGTCCCTCCTCTCCCTCTCCTCCTCCTGCAGCTTGATGGAGATTCCTCTGACAGGGCCGCGCTGGATGCGCTTCATCAAGTGCGTCACATACCTGAGACACAAAACAAAACAGGATCAGTAAAATGCTCCAGACTTTCAATAAATAAGCCGAATGTCACAGTTTAGAACCTCACCATGACTTAAGTTTAAAGGTTTGCTCCAATCCTTGTTCCATGTAAAAAGAGAACTTGAATTATTACGAATTTGCCAATTTTAACCCAGCTGTGGATGTTAGAACAACCCCATGATGTGAGTGGGTGTTAAAGCCCCTGTCACCTGTTCCTGTAGTACCAAAAATCTGACTAAACCGCTGGTATACGTTGGCTAAGTTATGGGTACGTTTTGTATAAATTATGAGTACGCAGAAACACGCCAACATATGGCGAGTAGGTCGAGAAATTTCGAGCATGCTCAAAATTTCCCCACATATGCTCATACATGGGCCATAAGTTACAGGTAAGTTATCTGATTGTTGACGTCCAGCTTATCCAAAACCTATGAGTAACTTCTCCTCCAGACTTCATCCACATCATAGGGTGAGCGAGAAGGTGAGTGTGATGGATCCTCCCTGCGTTCACGCCCACAGCCAACAAACTTCCCAGCCGACATGACGCTGAATCTGCTGCCACTGCAAACCTTCTTTCTTTCTTTCTTTTAATTTTGATTTATTTTGGGGTTTTTTTGGGTGCAGCGAAGCGCCTGAGGGGAGCAGCTTTAACTGATATTTCATAATCCCCATGAAATGATGCTTGTGCATCAATTCATGGGGATTACAGTGCCGTGTGTTATGCATAAGTAAGGCTATCGTTGGACTTAAGTTCTGGAATCGCTATGAATACGTTATGTATACGCCCAAAATAATTGTTTTTTTTTAATCAAAGTTCAGAGTATGCCAGCATTTTAAGAGATTCTGGTATGCTCAGGAAGAACATGCAAACTCCATGCAGAAAGACCCCGGGCCGGGAATCGAACCCAGAACCTTCTTGCTGCAAGGCAGCCGTACCCACTGAGGTACTGAGCAGCCCAACTCACTTTAATGCAAATAATAGTTTTGTGAATAACTCAGGTTTGCATTCCAATTAAGCCATGACAACTGACAAAAATATATCCCTCTGGGACATCTTTTATTTAAACCGAAATAATAAAATAAATAAACATTTGAAAGAGATTTAAATTCTTCCAAGATCCAGTTTTAACATAATAAATAAATTTCCATTAGTCTGAAAGAAATCATTTCTGGTCCCTGAGGTCAGTTTTAAATTTGAGGTGTTGCAACCTGAAGTTTAAAAGCTTGTAAAATATAAACCTAAACTTCTCACCATTCAGTGTTGATGCTCGTTCAGAACCAACACAGCGAGCAGCGTTCAAGTAGCAAAACACGCAACATTACTCTGCTGCTTCCACACTGATAATATTTACAAACCATATAAAACAAAAACTGCTCTCTCTACATACCCGGCTACTTTGTTGCGCAGAGGCTTGGTGGGGATGATGGCGATCTCCTCACACACCCGCTTGTTGGTGTGGAAGTCATTGCCCAGTCGGGTGTAGTATTTCTCAATGATGACTCTGGCGGCCTTCTTCACGGTTTTGGTTCTGACTCGCCCCTAAGGAGAAAAATCAAAATGGCCAGTACACATAAATACTTGTTTTGGTAGCTAGATATGAGAAAGTAAACCCATGATATAAACCTACTACACAGAAAGGGATATTTGACAACTTTAGATTTCTTTTCTGCAATGTTTGATCCCATCTTTCTCCAGTACTCCAGCTTGTTTATGGGGTTCAAATCAGGCTTGCTTATGTGTATTTTCTATTAGTGTTGCACTGATACCAGTATCAGGCGGGGCCCCGATCAGCACTAAAATGGTGGCATCTGTATCGGTGAGTACCAATAAATAGGGCACTGATACCATTTGGAGTCAACCTTTCAATGTAGCCAATAAAAATTTCTACTGGATTCACTTTGTATTAGTATTTTTCCTGCTTCCCAAAGGAAGGCAGCAGCTTGACAAAGCCATGATGGCAATTATTTTACATCCAAGTAGTATGCAGTTCTTCATATATATGCACACACACACATCAATTTCAACAGATGGTATCATATCTGCCAATACTGCACAGGTATCGGTATCGGGTCCCAAAAATGGCATCAGTGCAACACTATTTTCTATGAGTTTTTTCTTTCACTAAACTTTTTAATATTATGTTTAGAACTTTAACACACTTCATAAGAAATAACCTTTTGCAGCTTCCACAGGATTTCAATCACCTTCTATTAATTCAGTAGTCTTCCAAAAATCTATAAGAAATGTTTGCACTTGGGGAAAAAACATATATACACATATATTGAATTACACATTTGACTAAAAAGAAAGTCAAAGGTGTAATTCATTTTCTAAAATACTTTTTTATATTATTGTGCTTTTAGCTTTAAATAGGCAGCCCTGGTTAGGTTTTTTTTTTTAACTTTTTTAAGTTTGAATAAAGAAGACATTTATGCAATCTTCAAACTCACAAAAAAAGAACCATAAAAGAGAAATGACAAACATTTACAGCATGTCTGTTATTTTTGTTTTAAAGAGGGCAAATCCAAGTTGAAAAATCAAGGCAACATTTAACGAGGAACAAATAAACTAGGTGTTTATTAAATAAATTAATAGATATGCACTATAGATTATACCAGGTTAACTTGTGTACATGGACGTGATTAAAAAAAAATCACATTACTGAACTCAACATACGACTTTATCTTCGTATGTTTTTAATAAAATGTTGAAATTGAAATACTATTATTCGCAAAAAAAAAAAAAAAAAGGGGGTTTCTTAGTTTCCGAATAGAAGTATTTTATAAACAAATAAAATACTTTTATTATTCCTTCAGTTTGCCAATGATTGGAGTAAATGTATAATAGTTTATTTATCGGTTTTCCTTTGTCAAAGTTAGCTCATTTAAATCGTCCGGTGGTCTTTGGAACTTTAAAATACAGAGAGGGGGTTTAAAGTCCTCGGTGAGGGCACAGGGGGAAAGGATTGATAAGGATTGTCAGCGAAGCTGAAACCATAAGCTTTGTGTCGTACCCACCATGTTTGCCCGGACCAGCGGAAAAGAAACACCGCGGCGTCATACCGGATGTTTATAGTGGAAGACAGCGACAGGCGCGACGGTGCTGAGACCATTACCGCCACCTGGTGGCGGGAAGACATAACTACACAGATAATTCAGCAGACTATAAATATCAATCCAGATGTCCTCTGATAAAAAAAAACAAAAAAACTCATGACCATGTCGATTGTGTTTCTTTTTACATGTTTATTAATGTATTCAAACTTTAAATGGAAAATTTTCAGCGTTTAAGCCACATAAGAAGCAAGTTCTTGCAGTGTGTGCATCCATTTAGTTTGTAGATTTTGTTCCCCTTCTGTTCCAGATTTTGCAATCCGAGCATTGCGACATAAGATCTGAATACTAATTATTACAGAGAAAAAACTAGGAAAAAAATCTTTACAGATAACATTTTCAGAGCTATTTGTATTAGAATTTCAAGCTACTAGACAGACTCTAAAATCAAATTCCCAAGAAATGATCACTGAAGGAGCACAGCGGTGTGTACAGTCAACTATATTCTAATTAGGGGCGGATTTAGGAAATTTGGGGCCCTAGGCAAAAACAGGCCGGGGGCCCTCTGAATTGAGAAAAAAACCCATAAAACAGACCCATTATACAGATACAGAAATTTTAACATACATCCATTCTTTGTTCTAGGTTTTGTCCCCTTTCTTGTTTTCCTCTCTAGGTTTTGTACTCAGCTGACTTTTCATGCTGTCTCAAAAGGACTGAAAGATTTTTCTGGAGAGCAGAGTTTGGTGCTTTTATACGCCGTCACCAACGTCTCCACTAGCAGAAGTCACTAAATTTGGCACTAGGCGCTTTTCTAAAATACGAGTACTAGAGGTGTCTGAAAAGTCACTAAATACAGCGACAAAAGCGCTAAGTTGGCATGCCTAGTATTTCCTAATGGTAAATCCCCCAATTCTAAACATGTTATAATGCACTCCTTCTGGTAGCAAGTTATATTTACCTGCAGTTTTATTTCCCTCTTCTTCCTACTTTTAATGAATATATCCAGCTGAATATATCAGCCACACATAACATTGCATGGATTTAAGGTAAGCAGAATCTGCTAAACCTCCTTGGACTTTTCACTAGAACCATGGTCTTCGCCTACATGAGACTTAGCTTTCTGGAGACAGGAGAGTCTTGTGTGAAACAGAGGATGAATGCTTGGAAAAAGCAGTTCATTACAGTAAATTACCTGTGATGCTGTGGGCCTTTTTCCCCTTTAAAGGCCATGGAAGCCTGGATGGGCTGCATAGCCAAGATATCAGGATACTTTTAATAAAAAAATATCATATGTCATCACTGGGTCTACCAAGAGCATGCTGATCCAAAATATAGCATCTGATCACACAGAATCAGTTTTTCATGGCCTCATCAGCAAATATATATAATAATATAAGGTTTGCTTTTTCTCTGTACTTTGATTTGCTTGAAAAAATGTCTAAAAATCATCACAAACAGTCCAAAAAATGTGGACAGATCTTTTATTTTACATAAAAAGGGTGCAAATTGGAGTTTCCCCTTAGGTGTGGAGGGGATAAAAAGTGATTATTCAAAAGGTTTGTGTATGAGATGCCGTTTCATATTGATCCAAGAAAGAAAAAAAGAAAAACAAAAAACAAATGTCATCTCAGATAAAAAGGCTATTTACCTCTCTGCAACTTAAATATATGAAATCATTAAAAAAGGAGGAAATGTGGGTCCTTCAATACTTGAAGCCCTTGACTAACTCATTCAAATACATTTCTGAAGTGACATTCATAATTCAACACAATAATATTTATTTACAGATTAAGGATTTCTCAAAATCAGCCCAAAAAAATAAAGAAAAATGCAGAGGAAAGGATAGATTATTGGAGCTGTACAATTTGATTTTCCACAGTCTGCGAAAACAAATCAGAGAAACACTGTTTTTAATAGAAATTCCCAACAAAGACTACAATTGTGAAGTCTGTACAATTTACAGTTCAAATAATTAGCACAATATTGCAGTAAATATCACCTCTCCCTCACAGGAAAAAGATATACAGTAAATCAAACAACCCTACAGTACAGCAACAAGGAGAAAAAGTGCCAGAGAACCCAAAAAAGACCAAAGCTGATCATTCATGCGCTCATTTGCTTTGATTTGATTTACACACATATACAAATACGCACATAAAAGCCATAAACCCTGACATGACGAACAGAGTCGGAACAAAAAAAAAAGAAAAAAAAAATGGGTAGCAAAAAGACGCAAGGAGTTAAAGCTGCATCGCTTCACTGGCCCTATGGGTGGGGAGCAACGCAGAAGAGACATCTCGGCCTTCTCTCTGCAAGCCATGCAGAAACAGATCACGTAGATTACTCCTATATCGCTCTGTACGAGTTAAAATACAGCGTAATATAGCTATATATACCAGCTCAGCCAGAAGCTACAGAACTAGAGGTGAAACAGCAGATGGTCTGTTATAAACTCAGCTGGGAAAACCATGAGATGGTCCAATAAGTGGGGGGGTGGGGGTGGGTCCACTTCTTTTTTTTTTTGGGTTCAAGAAAGAACGAGTCGTTAAACACTGCCTGGTATGGCACCGAGCTGCGCTGCGGACACATTCAAGAACACAGGTTGGAGCGAGAAACGAAAACATTCATCGAGAATATTTTCCTGGCACAGATATATATAAAAAAAAAAAGAAAAAAAACAAACAACACACAAAAAAAAGGGGGTAGTAGTAGTCGTCTTAGAAATGGCACTCGGGGAATTCTAAGCAGGGAGCAGAGAAGGCTAAATATTCTGGATAATCCATCTCACTCATCGGAAGCAGCAGCAGCGGCGGCATAAAGCCTGATTTGGCGTTGATGAGCATCTCAGAGACTTTAATCTTCAAACCGACAACCTGCAGGACTCTACAGGCGCCCTGCTGGCCTAAAAGAAATGAATATCGGTCATTCATTTAGCTTCTCCTCCCAAAGCTCCCATCAAATCATAAAGTTACTGAGAACAAAAGGAAGCAGAAAAGAGTTCAAGTACTTTTTGATAAGACAATAACTTATGCCCCACAGAAAGCGACGCGTTGGAAGAGGGATTTTAAACAAAAAACTAAACTAGGCTGTACAGTGTAAATACATCTAAGAAGCAGGTTAACATACCGACTCATCTACAACATTCTAATGGAGCTGGTCCAATGAAACGCCCAATCTGATTCATTTAACACCAACAACACTTGTGTGTGTGTGTGGAGGGAAGCGGTGCTTTTAGGAGGGTTGTCATGGCACCAAATAAGGAGTGGCTGGAGGTTAAAACAAAGAATAATAATAATAATAAACTCCCTACACCCTAGAGGGAGATCCCAGCACACGAGGCAGCTACGATTAAAGTAATAAGCATGTTCAAAGTGGATTCTTTTTAAGAAGGCAGGGAAAGATGGGCTCAACAAATGTAGTGCAGTAAATAATCAAGCTTTGTTTTGTTTACCCTCTTTCCCTATAAAATCATGGCTAACTGGAATGAAAACAATTACATTAGACAATTTCACATTAACAAAAAGAAAGGGGATTTCATTTTTCTGCTATGATAGGCAAGGTGAGAAATTGTTTCAAGGCATTCCTCCTCATCCGCGCCGCCGCAGAGTTTCTGTCCATCTCGGCCACGGAGGAGAGGCAGCAGTGATCCCGAACGTTGGAGCATCGTGTTGCAGCACAGGGGCTGTGTGCAGGGGGGGGGGCGCGTCTTCACATGTAGCAGATGACGCGTCGTCATGCCTTCAGGTTTGGCTCTCCTTCCACGGGGAAATACGTTTCAGTGTTAAGAAAAGAAGCCATGACCGGCCCCAAAACAAGTCTCTGCTTTGGGTTGAATCATCTGGAAAGAACACGGACGTCTCGCAGCCGTGCTGTTAAGTTCCTATCCGGACGATGTGGCGCTCAGTCGGGTTGGTGGATCGAGGTTAAGGCATTGGACAGAGCTGTGACTCTCCAGAGCATATCTGCTGTCCTTCCAGAGTAGCGTGGCTACCATGGTAACAGAGTGCATGAAAAACCTTCCTAATCCGAACTGAAGTTTGGGTCTCAGTTGTTTTCCTTTTTCCAAAAACTTAATTTAACTTCCTTCCCATGAACTGGAGAGATAATATAAATCCTCCAGTCATTGACTCGCCTGTCAATACATTCAGTGTGCATGTAAGAATTAGTAGGAAAAGTAGTAGCAACGGAGTGATAAATATCATGTTTTTGTCTTTTTTTTTTTTCCCTTCAAGCTGCCATCTAGAAGCGTCAGGTGGTAAAAAGAGGCTGTAGTGTATTTGGACGGAGACGAGGAGCGCTTGGGCTGAAAGAACGTCTCTGAAGGATAAAAAACCAGGAGGCGGCTGCTCTTTCGCTAATACTTCTGCCTTAGTCAGAGACGATCCAAAAAAAAAAAGGAACAAAAAATACGTCACAATGAGTCAGCAAATTAACGAGGGGCGTGGCAGGATGATTTGGGAAGTGAATCACGTCTGGAGCGGAGTAGAAACAACGGGTTCCTAAAGAGATGGGGGCAGGATATCAATCCATCTCTTCCTTTACAAACAAACCAAAAAAACTAAAGATTGGAGTAAAACATACGAAGACAGTGATAAGAGAGAACTATTTGGTTGTCATGTAAAATAAAGGGGGAAAAAAACACCTTTGAAAAAAAACTTTTGGTCCACCTGACCTGTAAAACCTCCTGTTTCACTTTGAGGGGGGAGAAAAAAAAAGAAAAAAGAAAGCAAGCTCCCATCATGAGACACGTTTCCTGTACATCTCCAGATCAAAGCGGTCCTTCCAGGGAACAAACCAATCAGAATCTATCGGTTGACTCCCTTTTCTGTTCCCAGTGGGACCTTCCAGGTGTCTGAAATCACAACATGAGGAACGTTCCGGTCCGGTTCTGGCTCATTTGTGCCTCGGCGTGTTCTTCTTCCGTTTTCGCCTGAAGAAACAGCAGCACCTGCAGACAGACGGAGATTACATCAGTATGTCCACATGACAGGTGCTG